ACTACCGAATGGGAGACAACACAAAGGGGGTCGTGTGTCTCCCATTAGAGCTTGCAACATTGTATCTATCCTTCATTCCCAGGTGGCCACCGTTCGTATACCGAACACGTGGCGGTGGCCATCTTTGATCACTCAAGCCCAGCGGTGTTTGGTCGTCGAGTGCCTGGAACTAAAATCGGCTACTCGACGACACGAAAACCGCTGGGCTTCCACACCATTCGGGACAATAATTAGTTCAATATATTAATGCTCTCAAAGTATTCCACTGTTACAATGGTTGTTCGGGAAAACAGGTCATTCGAATGGTGTTCGTCTGAATGTGCAGGGATCTGAGCGGAATTCCCCAGGTGGTGCACTCAGATGCCAGCTATTCAATGAGCGTTAATTTACTCTAATACTTTGAAAGTTAGAGAATTTAATGTAAAACTGTGCTGTATGGAGAAATCGAATGATTATCAGTATATTCTTATCACTCATCTCTCCAGTGTAACAATGTATGCTGGGAAATAGCCCTGTAACTTACCGTATATACTCAAGTATAAGACGAGTTTTTCGGCACACTTTTTGTGCTGAAAAACACCCACTCGTCTTATACTCGAGTGAGTGTCTGTATTATGGCAACTTACATTGCCATAATACAGACAAGGACCGCCGGGCTCATTACCAGCCCGGCGGTCATGTTGGGGGCTGGCAGGAAGCATTTACTTACCTTTCCTGCAGCTCCTGTCAGCTCCCTTCTCTCTCCGGTCCGGTCAGCTCCCCTGCAAGTCTCGCAAGAGCCGCGGGGTCAGAGCGTTGCCACGGGTTACCGTGGCAACACTCCGCACGGCAGTCACATCGCAAGACTTACAGGAGCTGCAGGAAAGGTAAGTAAGCACTTCCTGCCAGCCCCCTCCTACACAGTGCACACCACTGGACCACCAGGGAATGAGACATAAAAGCATAAAAATTTTAATAAAATAACATAAAAATATCAATAATATTAAAAAATATTAAAGTAATAACAATAATATAAAAAAAAAGAATAAAAATTCCCACCCCGCACCAAGGCTCTGCATCACATACACATACACACACTGCACTCATACACACACTGCATTCATATACACACTGCATTCATATACACACACTGCACTAATACACACACACTGCACTCATACACACACACTGCATTCATATACACACTGCATTCATACACACACTGCATTCATACACACACACTGCACTAATACACACACTGCACTCATATACACACACTTCATTCATACACACACACACTGCATTCATTATATACACACACTGTAAATAAATATTCAATTAATATCATTTTTTGGGGATCTAATTTTATTTAGAAATTTACCAGTAGCTGCTGCATTTCCCATCCTAGTCTTATACTTGAGTCAATAAGTTTTTCAATTTTTTGGGGGTAAAATTAGGGGTCTCGACTTATATTCGGGTCGAGTTATACTCTAGTATATACGGTGAGGTTCCCATGTAGTCCACTATTGTAAAACCCTTGCAAGGGCACTTTGGAAACCCCATATATGGGGAACTGTATAAATGCTGTGACCTGTGATTAAAACCTCAGTTGACTCCCAGACTATGTGTCGTCTAGTTCTTGGGAGGAAGGGATTATTGTAACGCTACCTGGATTATTCTATGCTGTTCCTGTCTACCAGCGGAGATACTGTGGATTATACTACCTCTCCGCTACAGTCAGGGCCGGATTAACATAGGGGCTGATGGAGCTGCAGCTCCAGGCCCAGGCCCAGGCCCATGGAATAGGCCCATTGATTCCTAAAAAAAAAAAAAAAAAAATTTTTTTGAGGCTGCCTGGCTGGTGCCAATATTACAGTGATACTGGCAATACAAATGCTGGTATTTTTCTCAGTATAAACAAGAGATTACTATGCAATACCAGCACTGGCCAGTAGGGGTCACTGTCTGTGGAGACAGGCAGGGATAGGAAGTTCCAGCATATCCCTCCCTGCCTCTCTATACTCACTGATCTGCAGCTGGGGTGCAGCTACCGAGAGTCCAGACAGCAACTCCCACCCTGCAGAGACAGCCTACAGCTCAGGGAAGTAAGGGATGGGGGGAAAGCCAGCAGGGAGACATGGGGACACTGAGACACTAAGGGACATTGGGAGACATTATGACACAGACACATGGGGACACAGTGTCCCCATGTCTCCCAGTGTCCCCATGTCTCCCAGCCAGTGTCCCTGATGTCTCAGTGCCCCCAGTCTGCCAGTGTCTCACTGTCCCCATGTCTCCTAGTGCCTCCATGTCTCCCAGTGCCTCAAGTGTCTCAATGTCCCCATGTCTCCAAGCTAGTGTCCCTAGTGTCTGTGGCCCTGGTGTCTCCTTGTCCCCATGTCTCCCAGTGCCCCTATGTCTCAATGTCCCCATGTCCCTCAACCAGTGTCTCTAGTGTCTGTGTCCCTGGTGTCTGTGTCCCCATGTCGTCAAGTGTCCCCTATTTTCCTAGTGTCCCCATGCGTCCCAGCCCGAGTCCCCTAGTCTCCCGGTGTCACTGGTGTCTCCGTGTCCCTAGGTCTCCCCGTGTCCCCAGGTCTTCCTGTCTTCCTAGTGACATGGGGACCCTGGGATACATGGGGACACAGGGAGACATGGGGCATTGAGACACTGTGATACATAGGATCACTGGGAGACCTTGGGACACGATACTAGGGGACACGGGGAGACATGGGGCACTGAGACACTGATACATAGGAACACTGAGACCTGTAGTAATCGACACATTAGGGCACTGGGAGACATGGGGCCACTGGGAGGAATCCATCTATACAGCAGAATCAAACTAAGTAGTTTTTTGGTGATTTTACAGCATTTGCTCTAATGTCACTCCTTGTGATTTACATCATGTGATGTCATCCATACATATTTAATTATGCAAATTAGCAAGGCCGGTATGTTTTTCCAAGAAAGGTGGCAACCCTAACTACTTTTCACATACTCTTACTTAAGTATGGAAACTTAAGAGGGATGTATGGGAACAAAACTTGTTTGGACTGGCTGACAATGAATATAGTTAAAGGGACACTATAGTCACCAGAACAACTACAGCTTATTGGATTTGTTCTGGTGCGTAGAATCATTACCGTCAGGCTTTTTGCTGTAAACACTGCCTTTTCAGAGAAAATGCAGTGTTTACATTACAGCCTAGTGATAGCCCACTGGCCACTCCTTAGATGGCTGTTAGAGATCCTTCCTGGGTCATGGCTGCCTAAAATGCATCCAAACATTCAGTGTCTCCTCCCTCTGCATGCAGACACTTAACTTTCCTCATAGAGATTCATTGATTCAATTCATCTCTATGAGGAGATGCTGATTGGCCAGGGCTGTGTTTGAATCATGCTGGCTCTGCCCCTGATCTGTCTCTTTGTCAGTCTCAGCCAATCCTATAGGGAAGCACTGTGATTGGATTAGGCCACCACTTCTAATGATGTCAGCAGACTGCTTGTTTTTCTGAGTCTAACAGCATGCAGAGTTACAGCTTCAGGCTTGAATACAATATTTTGCTATATTTATATGAGGGGCCCAGGGGGGCTAGATGGTGGTGTTAACATTATAGGGTCATGAATTCATGTTTGTGTTCCTGACCCTATAGTGATCTTTTAAGGTAATGCTGACTTTGGTCTCTCTAACACTGTGGCATGTTCCCTTTCTTCTACACTCACTACATACAGCTTTTCTCCTTCACAGACTATATACCAGGAGTTTCTGCCTTCTAGTAAGAAGGTAAGGAGACAAGTGGACCAGCGAGTGCTAGGGGACAGTCCTTAGAAAGCGTTGAGCGAGCGCATCATTAGATGCATTTATGCCAAGCTCAGGGTGCTGTCTGCATAGTATGCCCTTAGTTGGCCAGCTGCATGATTGGCAGGCAGCCTGACATGCATTCATACCAGGCTGGCCTTCTAATTCTTTGGGCAGACATATCCTCTTTTTGGGCATGTTCGCCCCTTTTGGCAGGTTACGTGATTTGTGTCAGTGGCACCCCCTTTTACCGTGCCCATTGACTTCTTACTTGACTGGACACTGCTGTTAGGGGTTATGGATTTACTTGAAAGATGAAAACATATATTAGTGAGAGATTAGCCTAGGGTATGTGTTTTCTTATAGCTGCTGTTTTCTTTCTCTCCAGCACCATCTCCATCAGATACATGATGCTTGGGAGTGTTTTACTGTTTTTGGTCGATATGATTCTGTAATTAGGCCCGTCATAATTGTCAGCACCAGGCCCACTGGGCTCTTAATCTGGCCCTGGCTACAGTAATGATTCTACTCACCGGAACAAATTCAATAAGCTGTAGTTGTTCTGGTGACTATAGTGTCCCTTTAGTGGTGACTTTGTTAGATTAATTACAGATCATAATCATTTGAAAGGTTTATCCAAAATAATTAAATCAAGACCAAGGTGGCCAATGAATGCATACATTAATTCACACACTCCTATGGGCATGATCTCTAGATAATGGACTTTGAATGTTTAATTTCTAAACTAGTGTTTGTTTTGGGTACGTTTACTCAGTCTTTCTGCTATGCATGTTAGCTCACACCTTGCAAGAAAAGAGCGAAACCTTTATACTCTTACTATAGTTCTCTTTTTTGTTAATGTATTGGCACATTACTATATTTAACCTGTACCCAGAAGACAATTTGGCTATAATACTCACATTCAGAAGTCCAGTTTATTTGGTTATGCCAAAGTCAATGCCATAGGTCAAGCTTGGAGGACCTACCTTCGACTATACCGTAGATGCAAAAAAAAAAGTTCTACATTTAATAGTGACGATTTGTGTTTAGGGTGAGTTATTCTTCACTTTAGTGTGGGCTACAGGATATATTCAGCTATTCCCTATGGGGCAGAATATTCATGTTCTGTGTCAGTCTCCTCCTCCGTACAGGAAATAGGAGGAGGTTGGCAGGAGTGTTAAGGTTGTACATGTGTTTTAACAGAGTACAACAAAACAGTAAAGCAAGTAAAAAGATCAGGCTTACAATTAATGAGAAACTTACTGAGAAGACATGCAGAACTTTTATATGGCATCGCGGAATAAGATGGGTAAAGGTAAGTAAACCACATGATTTGGACTAACAATGAACAAAATAATATAGTAATAGATGAAGGATAATGACATTGCAGGAAAACTGTAGTTGCCATGGTCTAAGGGTACAGCGTCTCCTAAGTACACTGCGCTTTAGGGTAGCAGCACAGACTGAGCAGTGAGAAAGTCCCTATTTGCTTTACCAGGTATTTAAATATAAGGTACAATTTCTCCACCATCTACTGCCTAGTACTTACAGATATTAGTAAGTACAGTGGTACCTCGGTTTACAAACCCTCAAATTAACATAACTTTCGGTTTACAAATGAAAATCCATTGAAAATAATACTTTGGTTTACAATTTTTTTTTGCAATACAAAGCAAGTTTCTCCAGGATGCATTGCGCATGGGAGGTTTATAGCGCCGCCCCCGTGCATGCTGGAGCCTGTGGGTAGCACGTGGTGTCGAGTGTCGAGGTGTTGGAGTGGTTTTTGGATCGAGTTTTGGAGCCATTCTGGAATTTTTTTCCAGCAGTTTTGGGACTTTTTTGGTGCATTTTTCAAGCAGTGGAAAAGTAGTGAGCTAAGCTTTGTCGTTTGCATGCCTTTTATTGTGTGTTCTGCATTGTGGGTTGGTTTCCATGCCAGCTCATTTTGACCTTTCTCTGGCCTCCAGAACAGATTAATTGGTTTTCAATGCATTCCTATGGGAAACCACGTTTCGGCTTGCAAATGTTTCGCAATACAAAACGTCCCAAGGAACGCATTAAATTTGTAACTCGAGGTATCACTGTAAATAACCATCTCCCAGACAGAGGGACTCTACAGTTTTTAATATTGAATTGCCATTACAATTTGTAGATTATGACACATTCTTTTTGTCAAATTGTACCTACTTTTTTTTTTGTGGTTAATTTTAATAAAATATATGTAATAAGTAATAAATTAACTCATTATCAATGATTTTGTTAAAAAAAAATCTATCTTTGATAAATTGAAATCTAAATTGCAAATTGTCAGCAAAATAAAAATTTGGAAAAAATCTCCAGGTCCACTGCAGGCTCTTGGCTATTTCAGCCTGTGTGTTTGCAGTTGGACGTTCAAGTCACTGTTCAGCAAATAAACTGCCATTAGTCAGCCCAACAGAGACTAAAAAGACTTTGGGATTTTTTTCTTGCTAAACAGTAACATGTCCTCTGTTAATATGTCATTTTTGTAATAACCATGCTGGGAGATTTTACCAGGCCCTGTTATTTTAAACCATTTTACTTTTATTTCAATTTCTTCTTATGCAGTGCGAGACTGGTGTATGGAGCTATGCTTGCATTTTGTAGAATATTTAACACCCTGTCCTAAGCTTTCTTTAATAAAAGTAATGTTTTAGATTACTGCTTGAGCATATATATATATATGACATTGTCCCTCTATTGGCTTCTTTTGGAACTAATTTCTGGAAATGTCAAATTTAAAGCCACAATAGCTAAACTGGAGTATTTTTCCAGTTCGCTGTATTAACCTTAAATCAGAAAAATCACTTTGAATTTACTTCAAATTTTGACTTAAATAACCATGTGTATGTTTTCTTTTTTGCCTACTCAGAATCCAGCCTGGATTTTGATGAAGATGATGGCGATGATTATGAAAATATGAGTGCTGACAAGGCACCAGCTGTGCCCGTAAGGGAGAAAAAAGAGAACCAGTCGTCCAATTTGAAGTTTGACCTTCCATTAAAACGTAACGTATTTATTTTGGGTGTGAACCACATCTAATGGGATTGGTCAGTTACATTTTGGATTGATATTTAACTTGTTAGGAAAGATACAGTTCTGTATCAGTGTTATAAGAGCAAGCAAGGTCTCTTGTATCATTTAGACTTTGCACCTCTTCATTGTCATTTTTAAACATGCTAACGGTGTGTTTATTATAATGGTTACAAGTAAGCGTTAAAGTAATAAATTAAATTTGAAATATAACCTCACCTTTGTGTTTCTGTGGGTGTTTCTATGTCAGTTAACACCGCCGGACCCCAATAATTGCTTAGAATCATCAGAGGTGCTCCATTTTTTTGTTTTGGTATATTTTGCAATACAGATAGTGACAACTGCATGCATAGCGTATGTCATGCTTACTTTTTGTATTTTGAAAAGCATATCATACAAAATGTAAAGTATATAAATGTACATGTATAAAATGTATGAGAATAACTGTAGCCTTAAAAGTGTACATCTTTATATATTTTAGGCGTAGCTCTACCTCCTAAGGTGCCCCAATCAGTATGTACAGTTTCCAACAAAGGTAAATATATACACTAAGTCTTGCATTTAGGTTTTGTTCTGCTCTTTGTCTGACTAGGTTCATGCACAATTAGAAAACCCTCATTAGCCGCTCTCCCAATGTCTGAATACTTTTTCTTTCCATGCTCAACCCTAATATAGTGATTTGGATTTTTTCTCCATTGCCGGTCATATCTCCCTGCATTCATTCTTTCGTTCTATTCATTCTATTCATTCAATAGTTTGCAACATGACAGCTTTCACCAAGAGTTGTCTTCTTCTCAGTTTAAATGTATGTGCGTATTGGGGGATGTGATATTTAGCTTTGCCCATACACTGTCATTTTCTGCTTTTTTTTTCTGCTTTGGGGAAGTATCTCTTTACAGTCATTTCTGTCCCATTAACCCCTTAAGGACACAACTTTTGGAATAAAAGGGAATCATGACGGAATATTTCCGTCACGTGTCCTTAAGGGGTTAATAGTTAAACTGCCCACACTGAAGACACTTTGTGTCTACGAACACTTTATTTATGTGGGAATTCCAGGCAAGGAATTCTGAAAGGTGTGTTTGTATCATTCCTTCCCAAATATGTCCCCATGTACCATATTTCCTTCCCTTCTTTCATTCCAAGCTAAGTCTCTTTATAAAACAACCACGTCTCTGTGTCATTTCTTCCCTACTAGTTATTCTTATCTCTCTCCAGGCATTATTGATGGGCAGAACTTAACATGGGTTGCAGCATTATCTTGCAGAGGTTAAAGGATTCAAATGTATTTGTACTCCCATGTGGAGAGCCAATTAACATAGTACCAGGGCCATTGCAAGATGGTAAATCGACCATGGGCTTTAGGTTAATAATACATTTCATGGTCCCTCCTACATATAATGACTTAAAGGACCACTCTAGGCACCCAGACCACTTCAGCTTAATGAAGTGGTCTGGGTGCCAGGTCAATCTAGGATTAACCCTTTTTTTTTTTTATAAACATTGCAGTTTCAGAGAAACTGCTATGTTTATAAATGGGTTAATCCAGCCTCTAAAGCCTCTAGTGGCTGTCTCATTGACAGCCGCTAGAGGCGTTCGCATGCTTCTCACTGTGAAAATCACAGTGAGAAGACGCCAGCGTCCATAGGAAAGCATTGTAAATACTTTCCTATGAGACTGGCTGAATGTGCGCCCAGTTCCTGCCGCGCATGTGCATTCAGCCAAAGAGGAGGATCGGAGGCGGAGAAGAGGAGGAGAGCTCCCCGTCCGGCGCTGGAAAAAAGGTAAGTTTAACCCCTTCCTCCCCCCTCAGCGCCACGGGAGTGGGACCCGGAGGGTGGGGGCACCCTCAGGGCATTATAGTGCCAGGAAAATGAGTATGTTTTCCTGGCACTATAGTGGTCCTTTAAGCTCCTTCTAAAACCAGCCATATACCATGCCCAAAGTGCAACTCTAAACCTTATGTCCCACCAGCTACTCCACTGCTTGCTACACAATTTCAGGGGTTCCTAGGGCACGGCATCTCCCTGGGTGGCAGGTAGGTATTTGTACACATGTGTGATCATCAGCGAAATGGCATACAAATATAAATAATATGATGGTTGAGGTTCCATAGAACAAAATTAATCCAGATTATAAACTGTGCTAGAATGGCGATTCAACTAATGATCCATATATATTGGCTATATATTTCAGGCCATCTGCACTATTATCTGGGTTTATCTTGTGCCATATTCTGGATGAAAGGTTTTGTCTGAATAATTTGTACCTGCTAGATTTAGAAGTATTCACTATATATAAAATAATGTTTGCATGTGAAGGCTTTTATTTGAAAAGTTGTGCCTTCCAAACTTATATAGAAGTGGCTTTTCCACTTATTAGAAATTGTGTGCTTTTATACAATAAGGCACTCCATTTTTTACACTATTTAATGGTCAATGTAATGCTATTGTACAGGAATTCTCTACTCATAAGATACATGGGAAATGTCCCTGTGCCATCGTGACAGTTCTGGGGGAGCTCAGTTCATGTTTCTAATTTTTAAATTGTTTTATAGGTTTATGGCAAATGTCTATTGGACTTCATGAAGACGCCTGTCTGTTTATCTCACCTTTTATTTCCTGTATCTTTAGGGATGGACATTCAGGAAACCCCCAGCTTTCAACCGCCAACGTTTGGTGAGTTGTGCTACAGAGAATAGATAAAAAAACTTAAACACTAGGAGGGAAGGAAGGAATTAATTATGAGAATTATGAGTTATTGGTGTCTAAGGATGATGGGATTTCCAGTCAAGCTTTACATCTAGCTACAGGAATGTTGAAAAACATACATTTTTCCACACAATATTTCTGCCTGAAATGTATGCAATATTAGATAAAAAATAGAAAAAGTTTAAAATGAAATTAATAAATGCAATTAATACTTTAATAGTGATAAGTGAGAATCTACATACAGACATCCAAAATGTACTCTTCCTTTTAATCATTTCACTACTAAGTTGTTGTTTTTTGTGTCAGTTGTTGTGATGTTTAAGCTCACTTTTAATTGCTCATCGAAAAAAATGTTTTGTCACAAAATGGGCTTGTTTAGATTTTGTCGATAAATTGCTTCTGTCAATATTAACAACAGCTGGAACTGGAACTATACTTTTCAATAGTATGTATAGGAGATTAGCTGTTAGCCTCTTCACATTAGGTCAGAGACTGCTTTTAAATTTCTGGGGTTTCATTGCAGCTCTTATTGAGTAGTGCTAAGTACAGTAAGAACCCATAGACAATAACGAGAGCTGCTAATTTGTGTCTGTATTTCAGTAGAGGCTGTCAGTAACTTTTCTTTTGCCGCTAATGCACAATTTTGCAGTCGGTAGCCAGCCACCACAAACAGTAGCAACAGGCTAGAAAAAAATAGCAAAAATAAAGTAAACGAGCCCATAGTTGGTGTGAAATAAAAAATAAATTCATATGGTCAAATACCTTGTTTATGACATAATATAGATACACTAAGTATCTGTGTTATATAGGGTACTGCAGGCTGTTATTGCAGCCTACAAGAACTCATTGTAGTTTTCCCAGAGCTCTCCACTCTCTTCTACATTAATAACTGAAATGTTGACCGGCATTGTAACAAATAAAATTATTAAACAATTGTGTGTAGCCAGTTAAAAAACAAGCCAATTTATACCATAGAAATTAGTATAATAGGATGGATGGGAAATGCTTAAAAAATAAAAATAATAGTTATAGTAAAATGGTTTACGCGATATACCAGAAATAAAGACGCCTTTGTTGGTTAATATTCATGGCAGTGATTGTAAAAGTAAAATATGAAAAAAAAAATTTTTTACTCCAACCAGAAAAAAAAATGAGATCACTGCATTACTAAAAATCTCAACTCTTTATAAACAAAATTTTAAATAGTAATATAATATATAATTATATATTATATAATAACCTATAGTGAAAAAAGACTCTACGTGATAACAGCATAATCTATGCTTTTTATGCAATATGTTCACTTTATCAAGACCATGGTTTTAAGATATTTTAAGAAATTCCTTGAGTGCAAATTTTCTTGTCTTCGTTTAAAAGCAGTTCACGGTTGCACCAGGTTGAAGATTATTTTATAAAAGACAGTGAACGTTGCCGTTTTAGATTGATATATATTCTTTTTCAGTTTTAAATTTATAAGGCTTGTATTTTATAGGATCAATTAGTTTTTTTTCCTTTTATGTGAAAATGTAAAACTTTATTTTCTTATTGTTTTTGATGTGAAGAAGACTGGGGATTTGAAATTTTCTGTTTAATGAATCAATTGGCATGCCATAAATCAAGCTCCTTAATCAAGGAATGTCATTTGCCTTTGGTCTCTTTTGGAAGGCAAAACTAGTTGACCTGCCATACTGATGAAAAATGGACCAGAGGGATTTATGCTACTTAGTGGATGTGCGTAAAGCAACTGGTTAACAATGTTTGGATAACGTGGAGCTTCAGTTCAGTAAATTGTTGCATTCCTGTATAACATGGCGTTGTGAGGACACTTTACTTTGATGGCATCAGGTATACTGATACGGGAGGATTTAGAAAGTTTCCTCAAAAGGAGTCACACCGGGTCACAGGATTCATTATTTGTCCTTATACCGGAGAGTTATCAGTGTCATGTTCTTGAGCTGGTCAGAGAGGAGACAATTGCCAGGGTTATTGGTTGAAACTTTATCTTTTTTAGACATAACAATTTACTTGAAAGCAAGGCAATATGCCCCAAACAGGATACTTTGAGAGTTAAAACAGAATAAAGTTAATATGCCCCAAACAGGATATCTCGAAGTAAATGAATAAAGTCTTTTATATACAAGTAGGTTTAAAGTTATTTCCAAGTAGATTAGTAGTTTGTGGAATGTCACACTGCAGCCAGGTTCAGGATGATACAGGGTTGAAATGGTTAAAGCTGGTAAGTACTTTCAGTGTAATATAGTACAAGTTGCTTAAAGGATTATGCAGAGTTGCAGCAGTTGAGACAGGTAAGTAGATTCCAGTATAATATGGTACAGGTTGCTTACAGGGTTTTGCAGAGTTGCAGAAGTTGAAGATAAGAGTTTCAGGAGGATTCCGGCGATGGGACACATGGAGTCTCCATAGAGGATCAGGATGTTTTCAGGCAGAATACTAACTTCAATGTAAAGGCCATGTGAAGAGTTGGTTGTGGCCTTTTATAGCAGACTTGGAAGATTATATGAGGCAGGTGAGAGCAACTGAGGATTGACTTGTGGCTAGGGAGGCCACTAGAGGCGAGAAACAGGAATTGCAGCAATAAAATAAAGCAATTTCTTGGTTGTCAGGATAGAATGTAGACAGATTATTGTCAGTATTATTAGTGGCACCTTTTGACTAAACTGTTATTAGTGTTGATTTGTTATTTATTTTATCTAATTCTTCCTTTTACTGGATAGGTATGAATTTACTTTACTTTATTTTTGGCAAATTGTGTAAGAATTTTTGCTATTTTATTATTGTTTAGTCATTCCCCCCCGTCACCTTTTATAATTGTTGCCATGAATATTAACCAACAAAGGCATCTCTACAGTGGGGTTTATAGCTTTATGTCAGATACATGTTTCATATATTTGATATTTTATATCAAATATTTAATATATATACAAAAATTATATACCATTTTATGTAGAATATATATATATATATATATATATATATATATATATATATATATATTTTTGTACATAATACGGTATATAAAATTCAGAATTTAAGCCAATTTCTGAATATTACCAAAAGTTGCTAAATAGTAAGATTTTAGCTAAAAGTTTGGTTATGAAATTTTATATATACTTATAAAACCCAGCATTCTGGGACATGTCCTAAGGCAAGTTCAGATCCTGAACTGAAACGTTGACTACGATGGATTAATACCGGAATAAAGAAGAATTTTGTTTACAAGAGTGCTGGCTTTTTAAAGTATTTCTATGTCATGTGTTGCTAAGCACCAGGCTGAACCCACTAAGGAAGCAAGGTTGGAGTGCAAGACTGATTACACTGTACATTTAAAATCTTATTATTTAGCAACTTTTGCCAATTATATATTCAGTCTCTACTATTTTGACCAACATTTTGGAACTAGTTAAAGGGACACTATAGTCACTTGAACAACTTCAGCTTAATGAGGTTGTTCAGGTGGGAACTATAGCTCCCTGCAGCCTTTCTCATGTGAACAATGTATTTTCTGAGAAAATACAGTGTTTACATTGAAAGCTAGGAACACCTCCAGTTGCAGTCACCCAGAGTGAAACAGAGGGACTTCTGAGTTGATGGAGGCATAATATGCCTCCATCCACTCAGATCTGCTGTGCACGAGGATCCCGTGATTCAGTATCTCCTCCCTATGCATGCAGACACTGAACTTTCCTCATAGAGATTCATTGATTCAATTCATCTCTATGAGGAGATGCTGATTGGCCAGGGCTGTGTTTGAATCATGCTGGCTCTGCCTCCTTGTCAGTGTCAGCCAATCCTATAGTGAAGCACTGTGATTGGATCAGGCTATCACATGTCAGCAGACTGCTTGTTTTTCCTGAGTCTAACAGCATGCAGATTTACAGCTTCTTGCTTGAATACAATAAGATTATTACTATATTAATGGAGGCATGAGGGGCCCAGGGGGGCTAGATGGTCGTGTTAAAACTATAGGGTCAGGAATACATGTAGTTGCACTGGTGACTATAGTGTCCCTTTAAGGAATTAACATACTAGTTAACGCCACAGAACACCTATCTTTCAGATATTAATTTACTCTTAGGGTTTTTAATGTACTTCTTAAAAAAAGCACGTGTTTCTTTATAGAATACTTTTTTGCAATTAGAGAATATGATAACAGAGGTCAGTAATCACTACCCTTGGTAATTTTGTTGAATGTGAATAGTTATAAAAAAGTTTTGATGAAAATGTTTAATACAGAGTAATAGTAGTTTTCTGCTCTCTAATAGATTTATAAAAATTATAGTGTATGATGTGGTTTAAAATTGTGCCCTTGGGTATTTTCATTATATGTAAATTTAACTTAAAGTGAAACTGCCACTTCCCAGGATTTTTAATATTATGTTTATTTATCAATATATTTAGCAAATATGTATTTGTAAGGTGTGAAAAATTAAATTAGATGTAGAAATAAATACCTTTTTATTCTACAAATGCACGCCTCCATCTTATCTCCCTGTCAGTCATTGTTATAAACTATAAGTACAAATAGATTAAAGATTCCTGGAAAGTGGTGCTACAATCACCTCCGTGGGCCACAAACCACAAATATAATGAGTGAAAAATAAAAGCAAGCAAAAAATGGTGAGAGCACTCTACATAAATATAAAACAATACCCAAATTCAAATAATCTGAAAAAAATCAGAGAAAAAAGACATAGGGTAATAACGTCACAGTATAACAGACAGCCACCAGATACTGGTCTCACTCACATCTGTAGAGCCACTTAGAAGTTGGCTCAAACTCTGTGCCTTGAATAAAAGAACAGGACTTCTGGCCGGAGCTCCACACTGCTATATCTGGTCCCTCCAAAGTCATCCAGGACGCAGGATGTAGGGGGTTACAAATGATTTATTGTATAATAACAAATAAAATAAACATCAAAAATAATAACATGCAGAATGTCCAAACCAGTCAAATAGTCCAAACTCAACGCATTTCAGCTTTTATCCTTCCTCTGGAGTATTCTGTATCCTCACGGTGTTTCTCTTTTAAACTCTTCTATTTCGCGCACTTTTTCCGCGCACTTCCGGTTCCGGCGTCGGCGTCATGACATCAGCCCGCGTCCTTACGTCCTGACGCATACACTTCCGGTTCCTGGATATATCACCGGAAGGAGCGTCAGGACATCTAGGGATGACGCACAACAGCCACGTTCGTAATTAAAAGTCCGCCATGATCTCTAAGGGCATAATCAGTATTAATACCCAATCTATACATATATAGGTCTGGACGGCTTAACACATAAATACAAAGTAAAATACTAAAAGTATAACGATCAATATATAACGATCAATACACAAGAGATATAATAATAAAAACACTAAGTCACTAGATTAATAGAATATAAAAACAATATATATTAAAAAGGGCTCCATCCAATAAAATAGTACTAATAAAATAGACTCAAAAAAAAAAAAAGGGGAAGAAAAGAGTAAAATGAATTTGATAAATGAATTTATTTCAAAATCAACATTCAAACCCTGTGGGGCTAATGTCTCTAGTTCAAACATCCACTTCATCTCAGTTACCCCTAAAGTGCGTTCTTTATCCCCCCCTCTCCAATGAATATTAATTTGGTCAATACCTATAAAGTTAATCCCTTTGGGGTCTCCATTATGGACCTCTAAATAGTGTTTAGAGACACTATGATTAATGTATTTTCTTTGAATATTGTAAATATGTTCTCTAATTGTTATTTTGAGGGGGCGTGAGGTCTTACCCACATATTGGTATCCACACTGACAATTCAACATATAGATAACATCTTTAGTTGTACATGTAATAAAAGAACGTATTGGGTATTCCTTTTTGGTAACAAAAGAAGTAAACTTATCTATTTTCCGATTAGTATTATACCTAAATTTACATCCCCTACAGTTGCCACAATAATGAAACCCTTTACTTCCTTGTAAAAAATCATCACTTTTATCTAAAAAACTTTTAGTTAAAATCTGTTTAAAATTTCTGGCTCCCCTAAAAACCAAATTAGGTTTAGGGTTTAAAAATGGGACAATTTCTGTATCTTCTTGCAATATATGCCAATGTTTAGTAATCAGTCTCCGCAGCTCTTGATTATTAGAACTAAAATCAAAAATTTGGGGAATTTTAACATCCTCCTCCCTTAAGTTTTTATATTTATACTTAAGTAATGATGATCTGTCCTTCTCTCCAATCTCATTTTTTATTTTTTCCAAATTATCTTTATCATATCCTTTTTCTATAAATCTATATTTCTAAATTTCTGTTTGCTTCTGGTATTCTTCAATCTCGGTACAGTTCCGTTTTAATCTTAAAAATTGGCCTTTAGGTATATTATTAAGCCAAGGTTTAAAATGACAACTTTTTAAATCAATAAAACTATTCACATCAACTTTCTTGAAAAACATCTTACTTTTAATTGTAGTATCTTCTATCTAAACGATTAGATCTAAAAAATTAATCTGCTCTGAACTGATATCATAAGAAAGTTTAATATTAAAAATATTTTGATTCAAAGACCCAATAAAATCTTCCAAACTTTCTCTATTTCCTTTCCAGATAATAAAAATGTCATCGATATATCGTTTATAGAGGACCAGATTTGCCCCTATATTGTCCCTTGGGAAGATAAAATGTTCTTCCCAAAAGGACATCAATAGATTGGCATAACTTGGGGCAAATCTGGTCCCCATAGCCGTCCCTTGTACCTGGAGATAAAATTTATCTTCAAATCAGAAAAAATTATTATTTAAAATAAATAAGATACCATTAATTAAAAACTCTAATTGTGCTTCCTCAATTTCTCCAAATTTATTTAAATAAAATCGATCATGTTTAATAATTGTATATAGGCTGCTAACATCGCATGTAGCCATAATAAAATCCTCTTCCCATTCAAAATTTTCAATAATTTGTAATAAACTCATGGTATCTTTTAAATATGCTGGGCATTTAATTACCATTTTCTGCAAAAATTGATCTATATATTGGGATAAGGGTGATAAGAGTGATCCCACTCCGGAGATAATAGGTCTTCCGGGGGGTTCTTTTATATCCTTATGTATTTTCGGCAGGATATAAATAACTGGTATCCTAGGATGTTTAACATCTAGAAATTCATATTCTTTCTTAGTTAGGATACCAGTTTCAAACCCTTCATCCAAAAACCTTTAATACTGATTATGCCCTTAGACATCATGGCGGACTTTTAATTATGAACGTGGCTGTTGTGCGTCATCCCTAGACGTCCTGACGCTCCTTCCAGTGATCTATCCAGGAACCGGAAGTGTATGCGTCAGGACGTAAGGACGCGGGCTGACGTCATGACGCCGACGCCGGAAGTGCGCTGAAAAAGTGCGCGAAATAGAAGAGTTTAAAAGAGAAACACCGTGAGGATACAGAATACTCCAGAGGAAGGCTAAAAGCCGAAACGCGTTGAGTTTGGACTATTTGACTGGTTTGGACATTCTGCATGTTATTATTTTTGATGTTTATTTTATTTGTTAATATACAATAAATCATTTGTAACCCCCTACATCCTGCGTCCTGGATGACTTTGGAGGGACCAGATATAGCAGTTTGGAGCTCCGGCCAGAAGTCCTGTTCTTTTATTCAAGGCACAGAGTTTGAGCCATCTTCTAAGTGGCTCTACAGATGTGAGTGAGACCAGTATCTGGTGGCTGTCTGTTATACTGTGACGTTATTACCCTATGTCTTTTTTTCTCTGATTTTTTTTCAGATTATTTGACTTCAATTTGGGCATTGTTTTATATTTATGCAGAGTGCTCTCACCATTTTTTGCTTGCTTTTATTTTTCACTCATTGTTATAAACTGTGTAATTTGCACCTAAATATGCCATGTTACAATATTACTATATGCTTTGGAGAAAGTAAAAAAGTAGCATTCTGTGCTGTGATGTTTATTGTCTTAATGTTTCAGGTTTGAATTTTTCCTCCACTGCTGTGAACGCTGCGTTTAGAGATGACATAGGTGAGAAAAACACTGCAATAATTACCATATGAGATAAAATGGAAAAAAAAATATTTTTAGAAAAATGTGTCAATTTATCAGTTCTAGAAATGCACATTGAGTGAAATAATTTACACATGGGACTGCACTGGGCGATAAAGATGGAACACTTGGAGTTAGGAACTTGTTAATTTTTCAGGTGGTATTACCAATATTCTAAGATATATAGCTTGCCAGAGCACAGGAGAGTGTTATTTTATCCACATTTCTTTAATGAGATTTTGTATCATACTATTTTTTTTTTTTATAATTCTTTATTTTTGTTGTGCATGTTTTAACAACGAGCGTGTGTTGCCACAACAGCAGTTACACGCAAAATCATACATTTTCAAACATGGCAAATAATATGACTGCACATTTTTATATAGTATAAAACAGAAGTGATATGCATACGGCATAGAAACATGTTTGATCTATCTGTGCTAACAATAGGAGGAGCAGGTAATAGTTGCTTAACGGCTAGCACATTACAAAATATAAGATATGAGACTGGTAGAGATTAGTCGCAGATTTTTAAGTATGTTAGATCTATCTGTGCTATCAATAGGAGGAACAGACAATAGTCGCTTAACGGCTAGCCCATTGCAAAATATAAGATATGAAACTGTTAGAGATTAGTCACACATTGTATTTATATGATCTCTAGAACACATTGTAGACAAGGTGGAGTCAGCAGCTAATTCTTAGATTGTAAAGGCAAACAGGACATATCTACATGAAATGAGATTCCACTGGGTGGCCTGGCAGGTGATCTGTTATTGCTAAGGTGGGATTCATAAAGGCACAGGGTGCCAACGCATACTATTTAGCATGAGGTCGTAGTGGGGGGGGGGTGTGTACTACTGCTTTGGGCCCAAGCTGGGGGCTTAGTTATGCAGGCCAGGAGTCCCTCAGCCTATGCCAGTTACGGGCATCGGTGGCAGATACTTGCTGTGTCCATATAAAGCTCGTTGCCCAGTGGGGCCCCCTGGATTAGTTCCATCTGTGGTGTTTCCGTGTGAGGCGTCCTTCTGTACAGCCACGTGGTGCTCAGCCATCTTCTCCGGGCGTAGAGTTGTGAATAGGTGGTGTGGCTGCAGGGATGTCTCGTTGATCCAGCCGCTGTGTGCAAAGGTGCGAGTGCGTGGGTTCCGGCAGCCTGGTACTATGGTCCGCCATGACGGTTTTTGGCGCCTTCGTGGCCATTTAGATGGCCTGTTGACTTGGAGTGGGTATCTGTAATGGCGTCTGCGGGTCACAGGGCGGATCCATGAGGCGATCGTTCTGGCTGCCTGGTTGCAGGACACTACGCGGTGGCGAAGTAGTGTCCAGAGGCCCTTGCAGAGCCTGTCAAAGCCCTCCATGCAGCCAGCGGGTGGTGTGGCGTGTGCGCCCGCCAATCTTGGCTTCTGCTGGGCAGCCATTTTGTGTGTACCTTGGTGGTCCAGCGTTCCTGCTGGCGACGTAGCCAAGGGTCAGATCAGCCTGCCTGGTCTGTCTGCCCAGTGGGGACCGGGATATCCCCCACCGGTCCAAAGGGGGGGGGGTTTGGAAACCTGCTTGGTTGCTTGGGGTGTCCGGAGTCGGAGAGAGCGGCCGCCTCTCCCCGGCCCCGGCTTCTGTAGGCCGCGCTTGGTGTCCCGCTTATATAGCTCCTACGAGCTCCAAAAAAGTCTCATTTGGTTCAGGGGTGCACCCCCGACGTGGGTGATGCACCCTGGCAGGTCTTTGGGCTATTTAGCCCTCGTTTGTGCCGCTTTTCCTGCCCGTCGAGCAGGAGCTCGTGTCCCCTGCTTCTGCTCGGTTCAGCGGTCAGACTCCGCCCCCCGTATCATACTATTTTAATACATTCATTTGGAATACTTGCCTAGAGTCCCTGTGAGCAGTTGTGTGGGTTCATCTTTGTGGCGGACTGCCTGGCACCCCGACCATATGCCTCCACCAATAGCTGCTTCCTTAGTGTTTATCTAGTATCACAAGCGCTGCACCAGACACCATTAGCACTGTAGTCCCCACTTCCAGCATTGCAGCTTGGTTGGGGTCTCACTGTCCTCCACCCACCCAGGAACCAAGACCAGGATGCAGCTTCCAGTGGGTGGACCTCTCCTAGAGAGCAAAGCAGGCTGCTCTTACAAGAGCAAGTGATTATATTCCCAGGGGAGTATAGTGATATAGCAATCCCCGGGGTAGATACAGCCGTTTCCCCCACATGAGATGAGACTCTATGTTGAGGGTAAGCAGGAACTCGTTTATTGTCAGCCACAACTGGTCTTATATGTAAGTCCCCATGCAAGGGGTACTCCTCCCTGGACCTGAGAGTAAACCACAGTAGAAACAAATAGACAATTAAATTGGCGCTCAGATCCAGTACACTCTTATAAATAATAAGATAATCCCTCCTCTGTTCCTGGGAGATAATTGGATCAGGAACTGTGCTAATCTAATCCAATCATCTCAAAGCACAGAAAAACACACTTTTTCCCAAGCACCCCAAAAGTTCAGGGGTTCAGGAATTTCCTGGAAGTCATTTATTTGACCGACTGCATGCATGGTCCCATGCCCAAAACAGATCCAGAGAATCAGGGCTTGCGGTTGGTCTAGTTCGGTAGTTTAAAAACTGAACAATCTACTAAACATAGTCAATTTTCTTACCCTGGAGCATGATTCCCTTGTTCGTGCGAGTGTTTCCACTGAACAGTGTCTTTCAAAGTGCTGTAGAACCGAACACAGGTGATCATGGAAGTCCGGCGTTCGGGAGTTTCAGTGTCCGAAAATAGTTCCATGAACTCGACGACCAAACACCACTGCCTGTGTTCAGGCGAACAAGATGGCCGCCACCTCGTGGTGGTCCATAGGAATTGTGGCCACCCAGACGAACACTTAGAACACTGCGGTGGAAATTGCTACAAAGTATCAATTATGCTTAACGAGCTCCAGGGTGGTCTCAGGTACGTGCGGCTGTTCGGTAACCGAACCATATAATCCCAATTGCATGGACAGAGTCTTTTGCATGGACAGAGTCAATTGCAGGGGCCATAGTCCTGGGGCAGGAAGCTGACAAGCAGGCTCCTCCAAAAGCCCATGGCGAGGTTCTGTTTGCCACAATCTTGTTCCCCAGCACCGTCAGTGGAGGCACCTTGAGGCATATGATATGCAGTAGTGGCATTAGTTTCTGCTGTGTTCTAATTGTATATAATATATTACCTTAGAGCAGTAGCAAGTATACATACATGTGCTGTGTCTCTCAGGTTTCCAGAGTAATGAGAAGCAGAAAAAAGGTGTGAAGCTAGTGCCAGTCCTGCTGTTTCTTCTGACCATCATGTTTTTCACACTGTCAATCCTCATGGGACTCCTATTCATGCATTGTAAGTATTTTTGCACGTGTTTGGATTAGCCTGCTATGTTTAGAGAAAATTAAATTAGTACCATCTCTATGTACAACTTGTTATTATTATTATTATTATTAGATTATTTATATAGCGCCAGCAAATTCCATAGTGCTGTACAATGGGTGATCTCACAGACACGTAATTGTAACCAGACATGTGGACGCACAGGAACAGAAGGGTTTGAGGGCCCTGCTCAATGAGCTAGAGGGAGTGGGGTATAGTGACACAAAGGGTGTAAGTAACGGTAACGAAGTAGGTTGCAAGAGAAGTATTTTTGACAATTGCAGGAGAAGAGTCATAGGGGGAGTCATATGAGGTGTGACCTGGGGCAGTGCCATTCAGTTTCTCCACACTCTGCATTGAGGCACTGAACTTTCCTCATAGGGATGCATTAATTCGATGCATCTCTATGAGAAGATGCTGATTAGCCCCTTATCTGCCTCTTTAACAGTCTCAGCCAATCATATGAGAAAGAATTGTGATTGGCTCTTGTTCAACACTTCTGATGATGTCAGAGAAGCAGGCAGATCAGGGGCAGAGCCAGCAGCACTAAGGGATGCAAATAAGGTTTTGCTATACAATATTTAGGGAGGGCAAGGCAGGGGGGAGGGGGGGCTAGATGGTGTTTTTAAAACTATAGGGTCAGGAATACATGTTTGCATTCATGACCCTATAGTGTTCCACTAATGGAAAAGGGCTGCTTGATACAACTCCCCCCTATAACTAATGGGAAAAAACTGAATGATGGTTAAGAGACAGCCACTAAATGTTGATGTTATTCACAGTGAGAAGTTACCAAGAGAGGGAAAAAAGGAGGAGTAGCAAAATAATCTATATATTTAATAAATATCTAACATATTAATATAGAAGTATAGATTTGTTACTGTTTCTCCTCTTTTCCCCTCTTTTGGTTACTTCTTCTCATATGATCTGTACATATTAATACATAATATTTATTTATTTTTTATTAGACTGATTGGTCAACTTTTGCACTATTTGATTAGTCTGAATTATGTTTCCTGAATCATTTAAATGAATAAAATTTGTCCAAACTGAAGCTTTAGTGTACTAATAATCTTAATTTTAATAAGTACAGGAGGCGAATATTTTGCTTATTCTTTCTTTACTACCTCCATATAGCAACAAAGAAAAGTAAAAGAACTAAAAACCAATCAAACACAAGCAATGTATATATAATAGGCGTGTATAACTGAAGCACTTCCTCTTCAACTGCGACATCCACTTGAAACTGTAGACATGAGATGTGCTTTAAATCCAAACAACTAACATCAGGAACGATATCCCATGTACTGGACCATTGAAGGTCACCTGCAGTGTCCAATTAGGCTGAAAGAGAGTATAAACAGTTTTAGTACACAAATGGGTTGCATGAAAGGGACACTATAGTCACCAAACCAACTTTAGTTTAATGAAGCAGTTTTGGTACATAGTTCATGCCCCTGCAGTCTCACTGCCATTTAGGAGTTAAATCACTTTGTTTATGCACCCAAGTCACACCTCCCTGCATGTGACTTGCACAGCATTCCTAAACACTTCCTGTAAATAGTTGGCTAATGTTTATCCTTCCTTTATTGCAAATTCTGTTTAATTAAAATTGTCTTATCTCCTGCTCTGTTAATAGTTTGCTATACCATGCAGGAGTCTCCTGTATGTAATTAAAGTTTAATCTACAGAGCAGGAGATCTTAACAATCTTTTAAGGTAAGTTACATCTGATTGAAAGTGAAACCAAATTGTTTTCATGCAGGCTGTGTCAGTCAGAGCCAGGGGAGGTGTGGTTAGGGCTGCATAAACCAAAACAAAGTGGTTTGATTCCTAAATGGCAGAGAATTGAGCAATGAAGGGGGACCGAAACTTTTGGGCACAAAAAATGGCTCTAAAAAACTCCTGGAAAGGGCTAGAGGGCTGCAAAAGTAAGTAAAATGTGGATAGGGAAATCACTTAAAAATAACATAAAATAAGCAGCCGCTTAGTAGATAACTACCATGTGAATTAGGGAGCTATCTACCAAAAGGCTTTAAGACCTAAATTGGTCTTTCAGCCACATTTACTAATAATAAGTAAAGATTACTTAGTATTAGTATTAATAAATTCAGCCCCTACTCGCTATACCGCGACGGGTGGGGGCACTAAATAAGGATGTAGAGGGGGGGACCTACTGGCGTGGCGGGTGGGGGCCCTAAATAACAATAGGGGGGGACCTAATGTCCTCCCCCCGGCCCCCACCACTGCGCTGCGGATTGGGGCCCTAAATAACAATAAGGGGGGCCTAATGTCCTCCCCCCCGGACCCATCCCTGCGCGGCGGGTGGGGGCCCTAAATAACAATAAGGGGGGGACCTAATGTCCTTTCCCCAGCCTCCACCCCTGAGCGGCGGGTGGGGGCCCTAAATAAAAATTTACAACCCACCACCCCCAGGTAACTAGGGGTCCCCAAACCCCTAGTCACCCCCTCCCCCCAAAAAAAATTACCCCTACCTACCTCCTCATCCTAAAAATAAATCCTTATCTAAATACCGGTTAAAAAAAAATAGACTTACCATTTGATGTCTTCTTTCTTCTAAAATCTTATTTTTTCAGCCCCAAAAAAGGCCAAATAAAAATCCATAATAACCAACGCACTTTAAAAAAAAAAGCCCAGAACTTTCCCACGCTGTGTAAAATGACACAGAGCACTGTGATTGGTGGATTAAGTAACCAATCAGAGTGTTATGAGTCAAATTACACAGCGTGGGAAGATTCAAAAGAACTTTCCCACACTGTGTAAAATGACACGGAGCACTCTGATTGGTGGATTTCAAGCCAACCAATCAGAGTGCTGTGACAGGTAAATGTAGAGACTTACCTGTCAGTCTCTTCATTTACCTGTCAAAGCACTCTGATTGGATGGCTTAAACCCACCAATCAGAGTGCTCTGAGCCTAATTGCAGGGTGGGGCAAGGCTTTGTAAGCCTTGCCCCGCTCTGCAGAGCTCAGTCTGCATGGAGCCTTCCATGGATAAAGAATTATTATTATT